TTTGGGGACTTCCGAGCCTTCTGAAAAAGGCCCGCCCCCTCTCACTCCCTCCCAGGGCTGACTACATTGAGGCGAGATCTCCTGGAGTCCGACAGCGGCCAAGCACCGCCCGTCGTGATGGTTTCATGACGCGCTCATGCCTGGATCTTCCTTTTTCCGCCTCCGCCCAGCCACGCGCAGAGGGGGGCAGGGGGAGGGGGGCAGGCTTCTCAGAAGCACCCCTGCTTCTTGGAAGGCGCGGACCTCACCGATAGATGGAATGCCCGCGCCTTCTAAGAAATTGCCTCCTTTAAGAAGCCTTCCCCCCCTCCCTACCGCTGGGTGCGCGCCGCCCACACAAGCCCCAGTCGTCCTCGGGAGAGCTTGCCACGACGACCAACAAATTTGGCGGTAGGGGTCAACGCGATGTACGTTACTGACTCTAGCACCCGCTCGCTGTTGCATGCGCGCGACTCGCCCTAAAGCTTGTTCAGCCCTGGCGCCTGAGCCAGAGGCTCCTCACGCTGAGGACGCGGCAAGAGCGAGCACCCTTCCTACGATGTCTGATTCCCGAGACAGTGCTTGCACTCGGGGCCCTCACGTTCAGGAGAGGAAAAACAAAAAAACACAGACACAATGAATCGTCGACTCCCCCGAACATATGGGAAACTATGGGGAATCTTGCTACCTGTGTCTATTTATTTGTGTGTCCCAGGGCCCCGTTCCATGCGCGTCTCCTGAGGAACGGGGCCTGCAGGCCGCTCGAAGGATTGCAAAAAAAACAAAGGATTGCAAAAAAACGAAGGATTGCAAAAAAAGGATGGCAAAAAAACGAAGGATTGATTGCAAAAAAACCCTTCGAAAAAAGCAATCCTTTTTTTTGCAATCCTTCGAAAAAAGCCGCCGTGCTGACCCGACCCGTCGCCGCCCCTCCGCCGCCGCCTCGTCGCCCGGGCCTGCGGCCGCCACGCGGCCGACCCGTCGCCGCCTCGCCGCCGCCCCGTCGCCCGGGCCCGCGGGCCTGCGGGCCGCTCCGGCCGAGGTGCGGCCGCCATCGCAGCCCCGTCGCCGCCCCGTCGCCGCCGCCGTCGCCGCCATGCGTGATGCTGCGTTGCACTGCGTCGCGTTGCTTTGCGTCGCTCGCCACTGCCTTGCGCTGCACTGGTCCGCATGGCGTCGCGCTGTGTTTGCTTCACTTCGCACTGCCTTCTGGCATGGCACTGCAAGCATGAGGTCGCATTGCCTGGCACTGCTGTGCCGTGTTTTGCATTGCGCTGTATGTCGCTGCATTGCGTTGCACTGGTTCGCATCGCTTTGCATTGTTTTGCAGTGTTTTCCATAAAGTTGCGTTGCTTTGCATTGCGTTGCATTGTCTCGTGCTACGGTGCATTACATTGCATTGGTTTGCATTGTTTTCTTTGCGTCGCTCTGTACTGATGTACTTAGGTTCACAATATGTTGCTCTTTGTTTACAGATCCTCCTGACAGTTTTTGAAATTACCGCATCTATGTTGGCTCAAGCCGTTTCTGGCTCAGGCCACATTTGGCTGACTTTCGCAGCTCTTCCCTCTCCCGTGGGCCCCACCGCCGCTTGTGCTGGCCTGCACCTGACGACGGTCATGCGCCAGTCGAAGCTCAACCGCTACAAGAGCCTCCGGCCCGCTCCCATCAACATGGGATTAGCAGGAGGGGCGCCAGGAGACGGGCCCATCGGGCGGGTAGACCATAGCGGGCGGGTCGGGCAGGCGGGCCCAAGCGGCCAGGTCGAGAAGGCGTGCTGCTGAAGCGTGAACACTGCATGAATCGCGAGGAGAGCTCGAGCCTTAGTGCGACTCCCAAGTAAACCGTGAGAAAGGCCAAAGCGAGAGCGTGATTCCTGAGTGTCGAGGGCGCGGCGTTTGAATAAGTTTGAGGAAGTCCCACGCGAGACCGCAATTAATGCATACATTGTGAAGAAGTCCCGCGCGAGAGCACGATTTTGGAAAACATTGTGAGGAAGTATCAGGCGGGAGCCGTTGTTGTTGCAACTCCAAGGCCGAGGGCCCAGTTTGGTGACACCCACTTCGATTTTGTAACCAAAAAACCGGGTCCGAGCCCCCGGAAGATCATGTCAGTTGGAGAATACAATGGTTACCAGAGGGGGCCAGCAATAGTTATTCTCTAGACATGGAAATGCAACAGCAGCAACAAGAACACCAACAATTGCCACAACAACATGCACGCCTTCACTCAGCGATCAAGTAGTTTAAAACAGCAGCAGAAAAAGCGCTTGCAATATCAAGGGTTCCTGCTTTTGTTCGAGGGAACTGGGCGGCGGTGGCGGTCTGGCGGCAATGTAGCCGCCAGCGCCGCTTTGTCGCCGCCCGCCGCCTCGTCGCCACCCGTCGCCGCCCGTCGCATGGGCACAAGATTGCCATCGCATGGTATTGTAATTGTACTGCGTTGCGTTGCGCTACACTGCGTTTCATTGCTTTGCATTGCTTGCGTTACTTTGCATTGTGCCGTGTGTCCTTGCATTGTTTTGCACATGTTGGCATGTCCTCCCACTTGTTTGCATTGCTTTGCCTTGTCTTGCATTGCTATGCGTCGCACTGTTTGGCATAAATCGGCATTGCTTTGCACTGCGTGCCACTGGTTCTCATTGCCTTGCATTGCTTCGCATTGCAGTTCATTATGGCCCATTACTTTGCATTCGTATGTTTATTGTTCATTGTGTTGCATTGTTTTGCATAGAGTTTGCTTACATAGAACTGTGTTGCATTGCGTTTCGTCTCGTTACATTGCTCTGCGTCGCTTTGCACTGCTGTGCATTACTTTCCGTTGCTCGGATTTGCGTCGCATGCGCTGCAAAATATAAATTGCACCACATGGATTGTACGACCTAGATGACACCACACTGATTGCACCACCTAGGTTGCACTGCGTTGACTTCAAGCAACCACTGTTTGGGGCCCTGCTGGCTAACATGGAAAGAACACTGCCAACAAATCCATGGACAACCCTAACAACCCCTCCAATGTTAAGACTGTCAGCGGCCAGGGCATATCGGAGCACCGAGTTCCGATGATGTCCCGAGCGAAATGGGCCAGAGTTCCTCGCGAACCGAACCCAGAGCACGTCCTTCGGACAACCCTTTGGGCAATCCCACGGGTATAACACCCCTGGGACAAGGCTCCCCAGGACTTGCTCCCAAATTCACTTGCATGTAGGGGCTCTGACTTCGGTTGCCAAGGAATTGGATGGGTCTGGCGAGGTTTCGCCACGTTGCCGCCCGTTGCCGTTTCGTTGCCGCCTCGTGGGTTGGGTGAGTCCAGCGAGGTTTCGCCACGTTGCCGCCCGTTGCCGCCTCGTTGCCGCTACGAATACGGTGGGGACGTTGGTCAACGAATGCGCCCAGGATGCTTCAGACCCTGGATGATTCTTTACTTGATGAGGGCGGTGGTGATTTCCATGGCCAAACCTCGCTTGGAGTTACACCATCTTCCAGATCCTGGATTCCTTATCCAATGGTTCCTTATCCAATGCCCTCACCGTACTTCCCGTGGCCAACTCTCGTCCTCGCACATGCCTCGGGGCATGATGTGCGAACCCCCTCTCCCTGACCCCTCGCTCCCCTGATCCGATGGCGCATGACACGATGCTTGTCTGGGGAGGGAGTTCCAGGTCGGCGGCGACACGCGCCCACGGATTCTATTCGATGGTCCTCGGGGCGCGTGTTGGCCCGATGTGCGCCGCCCCGCCAAGCTCCGCCGATGGCGCGCCGCCTGCCTCAGCCACCCCTTACAGCGCCTGCGTCGTGTGGAAGGGCCTCGGTGGACAAGCACACGCTGGCTGTAAGCCACGCTGTGAGGATCATTCCCGGACAGCTCGTAGAGAGCTAAGACGGTTCCAGGTCAAGAGGCCGGAGCCGAAGGGTGGCCCCAGAGCTCGCTCTGGCTTCCCGCGGGAATGCCCGGCGCGCCCTACTTGAGCTCTTATCGGGTCCCGAAAGGCTTTTTCCAAGCGTTTCCCAATACGCGTGCCCAGAAGCTCTCCAGAAGGTCCTTCGGAAGCTCGTTTGGGGCGCTTTCAAACTCCTCCGACAGGCCTTCGCACGTCCTTCTGGCGCCCTGCTGTCTGGGTTTTGGACCCCACAATCGAGCATGTTCACCGCATTCTGTTCACGACGCGCGCACCTCTGGTTAAGTCGGGCCTGTCCCTCGACAGGAGGAATATTCAAAAATAGTATAAAAAATAGTCTGGGGACGATGTCTTTCTCTATGCTTGCCCATTTGGGGGGCATTTGTTTAGTATATTTTAACATTGTTCGCCCCGAATCCCCCTCTCGGGGGACACGCCCGGCTTAAACCTCTGGGCCCCGCGCCGCTCGCCGCCGCCAGCGGCGCGCGGCGATCGGCGCCGCGAGCGCGGCTCTCGCTCGCCGCCCTTCTGCGCCGCCTGGCTCGAGCCGGCGGGCCGCGGCCGCGGGGGCCCCTGCGCCCCGCGGGGGGGGGCGGGGCGCTCCGTGCGGAGATGGCCTCGCTGGTCGTCGTGGCGAATTCTCCCGAGGACGGCGGGGGGCGTTTCCCGATCAAGGAGAAGAGGAACCCCTGAACCGTAGTGGCACAGTGAAGGCGTAGCCTCAGTCAGGCCCAGGCTTTCGCACGAGGGATACACAAAAGGGGTGGTTTCGTGGATACCTCTGCAACAAGATGCCCCTCATCCCTAATGCGTTGGGCCCCCGAACGCGGGTCCACTCAAAGGGCTTGGGGTCCCTTTTGGTGCGAATCTACGAGGCGGAAGATCGGAGGCTGCCAGAGGGTTTCCTCCTCCTCCTCCTCCTCCTGCTTCTCCGTAGCCATTTTGGCTGAAGCCATTCTGGCTCAAGGCAGCTGGCCAGTTCAGCATCGCGATCCGTGCCACAGGTGGCTGCCCAGCCAGGCTGGGATCCTTACCCTTTTCACTTTACACGTTATTTCCCCGCACCAAGGCGCAGGCACGGGCTGCGCGGCATTTTGCCCCTCCGCACTTGCAGAACAGCCATGGTGAAGAAAGGTCGTGCCCAGCGGCAGCAAGAGAGCAGCCAGAGTCGCAGCCGAGTGCGCCGCGAGTCCAAGAGCAAGTCAGGCGATCGGCGTCGCCAACGCTCTCACTCTGGTCGGTCCTCGAGCAGTCGCACCTCCAGCAGGGATGCCAGAGCTCGCCGTGGGCACGCCCCGAGCGACTCCAGGTCGGATTCTCCGCGCCGTGGAGGACCCCGTGCAGTGGACAACGCTGACCTACTCTCCAGCATGAGGAAGCGCATCGGCGACTCCCAGAAGACCATCATTGACAAACTGGACACGTCGGTGGCGAACATCAACAACCAGATTGCAGATCACGACATCATCCTGAACTCCATTCAGCGGGACATGCTCAGTCACCAGGAGCAGATCAAGAAACAGAACCGAACCATCGCAGAGCTCTCCAGCCAGGTGATTGCAAGTGGACGGGCTCGCTGTACTGGTCTACCTGATGAAGGTGCCAGTGTTTCTACAGGCCAGGGCCGTGGACCTGCACATCAGCAACCCTCAGACGCGACGGTGCGCTTCATCGGCACCTTTCCTCGCCCTCTGCTTCGTGAAGCTCGCAAGGCCCACTATATGATGATACGCTTCCGTATGGTTCCTGCTTCCGTATGGTTCCTGTTGTACTTCTGCCTCTGCTGGTGGCCTGCTCTTCTTCATCTCTAACCAATTGCATTGCAGCTTCTGTTCGTGAGCTTGCACGAAATTGTTCCAGGCCGCATTGCCGGCCTCCTCCTGCAGGATTCTCTTGGGTGTCGCCAGAGTTTCACTGTTCAGGTCGTTCCTGATTGGGCGGGATGGAAAGCCAGGGGGATCCTTCACAACGTGCAACGTACGCTATTGTCATCAACGGTTTCGCTCAGCATCGCCTTGGGCGACTGGAACTTTATGGCGACTGGAGAGCCGCGCCGGCACGCGAACACGCGCGCGGGAACTTGCAACTCCCCGCGCGCCGTGGGCTCGCGGCTAGCTGCTCATTCTAACTCTGTCTTTGGGGCGCTCGGGGAGGCAACGCAGGTAAGGGGCGCGCGTCGCATCGTCCGTCGCGGCCCAGACCACGAACATCGCGTCAGTGAAAACTCGGTCTTAAGTGACATCCAGGACCGCCCCGTAACTTTCCCGAGGCAACAGGAACTCGGAACTACTCTTACGTCGCGTACACGTCTTGATCGCATCTGCCGCGCGCTCGCCTCGCAAGACACCCTCGACCTCTGTCCTCGCACGGGCGCGCCCTGGCCGATTACTGACCTCGGAGCACCGTCTGATCATTGCCCACTGTTGTTATCCCTGCCCGCTGGACGCCGCAGGGCACCCCGCGCATAGCCTCGCGGGCGAGTAGACATGCGCAGTCTAGCATCACGACGCGGGACTTTTTGGACCCAGAGTTTCTGCCCGCGGACCCGGCCGCCTGCCCCCAGGAGATCAAGGGCGCGACGCACGTCGTCGCTCGTCGCGCCAAGGACTGGGTTTACGAAAAAGGGGCTAGAACCACGGAAGACAAACTGTCGCGCACGTTGCGCGTTCTTCGGGGCGCGCGCTTGGGGGGGGGGGGGGGGCGCGAGATCTCCAAAGGCCTCAAAGGGTTCCCTGACCTCTGTAGGCATCTCGATTCTCAGGAGATGCGGTGGTCCGACCGCGCTGGCTCTGACCTGCCCCATGCGGGCCTGATGCGCCAGTCCCTGCAGGCTCGCGAGACCTCTGCTCGCGCGGAAGCGGTCGGTTCGAATGGGGATGCGCGCGTTGCTCGGCAAGTCGCCCGCATTTGGCGCATGCCGCTTGCCTGGAAGCGCTCGGGCAGGCAGAATTTCCCCCGGCAGGTGACAGATGTGGACGGAGTGGAGTGGCGCATGCTGACCCTGCGACCTGTTCTCGTCTGCTAGCAGAGCACCGGGGCGAAGCATTCCAGCGACGCACTGCCGACGTCGACACCATTGCCGACTGAATGACCACTGTTGAGCCAATCCCCCGTGATGATCACCAGCGCGCATCAACAAATGGTCCGATTATCCCCCGGTTATCCCCGATGCAATTTTTGCGAAGACCTTAGCTAGCTAGAAAGATTATTGTCCTGGCCCTGATGGGCTCGCATATCCGGTCTGGCAAGCAACATGTCAGCGCCTGTATGCGCTGCGCCGCGAGCTGGTTGAGAGCCAGAGCATGCCCGCGGACTTTCGCGCGAGCGCGGCCGCCTTCCCCCCGAACGGCCAGCCCTTCGAAGGAGAAGTTGTGGCGCGTATTCCTGGGGGCACTAGGCCTCTCCCCCTTTCTAACGCGGACACCAAACTGTCGAGCGCAAGTATTGCTTGGCCGCTGTCGCAGATTACCAATGACATGGTCCAGGGCCCCCAAAAGGGCGCCCTTACAGGTCGCCAGATGATAGACAACATCATCGGGTTATACGCCAACCTTGTCATTGCTAACTCCCTCTGTGACCAGAAGCGAGCAGGCTCGGCCCTGTTCGACCTAAAGGCCGCGTTCCCCAGCATCATGCACGAGTATACTTGGATTGTGTTCCATAGCTACGGCGCCCTTGAGTCGCAT